CTAAGCACAGTAGAGTGAGTCGTTTTTTCTGCTCAAAAAATTAATAGTTTGTAAAGAAAAATGTACGCCTGTAAAATGAAGTACAGGGAGTACCGGGATTACTACCCACGATTATTTCTTTTGCGTTTCTACCCCGATTGTCCATAACTTATATTTTTGAAACATTTGATCATAATGGTACGCATGCTCAGCTAATTATGCAGGTTTCTGCATGTTTGTTTCATTTTGCTGTGTGTCATTTCGTTGTGACATCCTGCAGAATCTCATTTTCTCAAGAACGACGCATATGCAACGTGGTCGCGTAGGCGTAATCATATCACTGAGTTCAAAGTTCCTCTGAACTCCTTTGATCTGAAAATCCAGGTTTGAAGAAGGATGGAAAGCATCCGATGCGTGCATCACAAATTTTGCTTCACATAACTCGGTATTTGTAAATACGGCTTTAGTCGAGACTTTGAAACGGACGAAACCTCACGCTACGCGCATAGCAAAACGGTGGCTTAATTGACGAAGTGGAATAATATCACCAGAAAATTTTCAGGCGCGAACAGTTCGGTCGGGCCGATCAGAAAATGAGCGGTAGCAACGACCAGAGCCACCACTTCGCGAATGAGGCTTCAGATGCCTCTTGGTCATTCTTTAATGATTTTTTTGCATGAAGGTGGGGCACTTGTGTTTAGTTGGGGGGAGGGGCGGCAAACGTTTTCTAGTTACTTCCTTTTGGATAGCCATTCTTAACTGAAACATAAATGGTGGCTGAGTTGGGGAAGGTCTGATGATCTTTGAAGCGTTGAGGGTGTTCATCTAATTAAATTGGGCTTTAGTAGAAACCGCAAAATAGAAAAGGATTGCTCCAAGTAAGAGATAAAAATATTAGGAAGTATTATTGCCTAAAAATGAGTCACGCTGAGTTAACCTCGTAGTTATCTTCCTTTTTATTGCTGACTCAACCTCAGCTCAGTAGTAGAACAGTAACCTTATCAGCGAGTAAAAGCAGAACTGTCTGTAAGCTTTCATTCTGGGACAGTTAGGCAGAGGGGACTAAAAGCTAAATACTAAACAGAAACAGCGATTGGCAAGAAGCAGTTCCTAGAATTTACTTTCGATGCGCGTCCCTTTGGTTATTGCAACGTTGAAAACCTAATTAAAAAAGTCGAGCGATTCATGATCAGATGCATAGTCAGAACCGTTTCCAAATCTTCAAACTAGGCAACTCTATACAACTAATATAATCTAGCAGAACAGAGAAAAGCTAGTATTGTATACCCTAATAATTACACCTCTGGGCCATCTATTTTGGGGAAACGCATAGAAGGCTCAAAGACAAGATGCAGTAATATGTTGTACATATGCCATAATGTAATATGATGCAGTATATTGGAAACACGGGACGAAACCGCGTGTCGAATTTATAATATGCATATTTTTCTACTTTTCGGATCATGTTCGACCGGTTTTCACGGCGGAACATATAAAACTGAAAACGTCTCTTCCTGAAGCATTATTCGAAGCGGAGATTATGTATTTAATAGATCAACATAGGAAGACACTTGCAGAACAGAGCTTAGTGACAGATTACTGTATATACGATATTTTCTTTGAAAACGTATTAGGTTTACAGAAGAAATCAACTACCTCCAAACGCTAAAGCAACGTGATAAATCCAGTCGGAGTCAACTGATAGAGTACAAACAACGAAGAAAGTTAAGGATGATGCTGTAGTGAAAAGAACGTTGGATTGTATCTTTCTTAGTCAAAACTTGATAAACTTGTGATATGATAAACTTGTTTTATGGTCCCAAAGCAGTTTGCCAGCGAAAAGTATTAGTCACTAGTAAGGCAAATTTGGTCAGAAGAATGACACTGAAATCAGGGATGCCGAAGAATTGAGGTAATGGTTTTCCCTAAGAGAGTTGTTGATGTTGGTTCCTCATAACGACAAATTTCCACAGATTATCTTGTCCTTTGGAATACATAAGTAACGGGAGAATAGGTCAAAACTGTGCAAATAGATACGTTATTCGTCAGTGTTTCATGCAAATTACGTTTCGCTACAACAGGAACATCGTCCTTCGATATCCGGTTTTCTGGCCATTCTCGCATCCGGTTTTGCCGACAGATGTTCTCTGATGCTGTACATTTAGCATCACTCGTCGACTGTTCGCGTCGAAGTTTCTTCCATTTCGGGTATGTTGGTTTGGTGACGCCATCTTGGTATTTTTCGACAAGGTCTTGGTTACCACGAGCATATGGCGACGTCGCCTCGCACCTCGCACCTCACGGGCGTTTTGCATGTGCGAATCGCAGAACAGCGCTGTGGAGAGTGGTCTTGATCGAGCATGGCGCTAAAATGACGGGAATATGATCGGTACGTGTAGTTTGATTTTCGGTTCCAAAACCGTCTCTAGTGTCGTTACTTCCTTCAGGACAGTGAAGAAGGCTCGTGCGAGACGTAGGTACTGATCAGGGAGCCGGTTGTTCAAATTATTTTCTTGCTTTGTGAATAAATAAAAACAGTTTTGTACATTTTTCTGTTTTCATAGATAAATGCAGATTACAGTCATTATCACTGACAACAGCTACAACTGGTTGATCCTTCTTAGTTAACGAAAGCACCATTGTCAAGTCTCGATGCCCGCTGTGGTCTGTCTCGTGAGATTTGTCACCACAGGCTTCTATATCTGTCTTTTAGCTCATCATCCTGCCTGCGTTGAGGTCTTCCAATTGGGCGGTTGCAGTCGCTTGAGTGTTAGTCCATCGTTCATCCCTCATTCATACGATGTAGTCCACCCTAATTTAACTTGAGCCGTACGCATGGGACTGGGAGCCATTTTTATCTGTGGTTTCCATTTCATTCGATCATTCAAAGTGGTTTTGTATACTATCCACGCTTGCTGGGCGTCTTGGACAGAACGTCCCTTTGCCCTTCACGTCGGCCGAAGGGCTTAATGGCGACAACTCTGTAAGGCTTGGATCGTTCTGATTTTCCTCGGTGACCTCAAACACAGCCACCTCTTCTCTTGCGATCTTGCCTCCGCACTACGGAGCGATGCCTCATCTCGCAGAGGAAAGTCGTGATTATATGAGTATAATTAAGTATAAGAGCGTGAAGACCATGACCACTGATGCGTATAGTCGCACATTACGGCACTCACGTGGGCAGTTCATTCGGTGTTTTGATGACTTCTAAAAATGCATTGAGGACTTTCAAGGAGAATGATGTCATTTTCTCGATATCGGTTCTTTCATTGTTTTCTTCATTCAGTCGTAGAGCTGCTGCCCGATTCTCGTAGCTGCTATTGATTTGCTCCTTGTACTCAACTTAACTCTGTAAACCCCCAGCCAAGTCTTTTCTTCCTTCCAAGCCTTGAAAGCCCATAGTCAGTGCCTTTTTTACGTTGTACTCCTCTGCCATTCGAGTATGTTCCTAAGGTTGGATTCCAGTGCTGGACAGTGTCCATTGTTTAATATTCTTGAACTGTCTGGTCGTCCTTCGCTCTGTCCATTGCTCGTCTACCTTGTAGTTTTATCAGGCAAGTCAGAGATGATTCTCATCTGTGTCGTCCTGATTACTCCAGTTTGACCCACTTCGATGTTTCGGAACTTGTCGAATCATTCACACTGCAGTAACCTAGCAACAGATTTTACCTATGGAATCTAGACAGCGAGTCAGTGCTAAAACAGTTTGTTACAGTTAACACACTGTACGTCCGACGTCTTTCTTTTCGTTTGACGTCGCGCCATTTGTTACTGTCGTCGAACACCCGGTTTCACGGTGACGTCGCTGCGCGACGGACAAAATCTGTCTGGCGGATTGAATATTGTCAACATGGTTTGGACTGGAACGGGGAAGCTTATTGCAAAGTCGCTTAAAGCAGCGATCGTCGTTGTTCGTTCGACCCTTGGAGCAGAAGATAGAACTTTGACAAATTGTTCACAAAGTTTTGGTCCGTTCGTTTTCTGTGGTTTGTCTATGAAGATATTCGATTTTTGTCTCTTAGGTCATGGGGCGCTTGCTGGATCTTAATTCGTGTATCGATATTTGTCTGGTTGCGTAACTGATTGGGTACATTAATCACAGGCCTAGATTTAAGGTAGTGAATAGTTTGAAGACTTCTTCCTTCCGAAAGCTTGCTAAGGGCTGAGGGAGTTACTTAGTTTTATGCTCCAGATAGTGCTTTCGTCATTTTAATCATATCATTGTCGGCCCTGCCAGGATTCTCGAACGAAATACGATCTTATCGACTCTACTGGCAGAAATGTTGGACCTTGTACTGACAGAAAATAACGAAATCCGCTTCTTCACCTACTACTCGCTTTTTGTAGCAAACAATCAAATAAGTGCTGTTCATAAATCCAACTTCATACCCACGTAGTGGAAAGCGGGCTACAACCAAAGTCCGGCATTGCGTATTATGCCTGAATACTGTGAGAATGGAATCTGTCCTTTTGTACCACCACAAATCATAAACCGATTAGCTAATGAAGCAGTGATAATCGAGTTCTGACAGATTTCTTTTAAGAAATGGATTTCTTACCGCCGGCATGAATGGAAAAATTGAGGTTAGCGTCTGTATCCGTTTGTAAACGGAGTACGCTGTTCATCTACTCGATGCGGAATTGGGTTCCTAGTGGAACTGAAACAGAGAAGTTGATGTAATATGCCATATCCAAATCCACCGCACAATACCCAGTGGGTATCTGACGATCAACCAGTCGGACAGGTTGATGTCACTTTCTTAATTTGGTGGAACAGTATTCAAACCTTATTAGCATAGTAGCCAATTCGGTAGTAAAATATCTCGGTGTCATAATCGGTAGCATGTTTAGCTGCAGTTCTCATGTTGGCCGTATATTCGATCGATTCCCACCCTTGCTTCAGCTTTACCTAGCAAATTCGTAATTGCTCTGCACCAAAATTGCATTAAGACTCAAAGACCGACGAGTTATCTGTGGCTCCTGACGTGCCAGATCTGAAGATGATACCTTACTTTAAACCGAAATCACAAATGAAAATGTTTTGATTTGCTCGAAAGTTTAATTTTTTTACCGCCTGTTGGAATAGCATATTCGTGTTCCTTCTCGCATTTCTCGTCTAAGGCCGGGTTTTACGACGTGTTCACCGCTCTCCTGCGCAAAACTTGCTAAGGGAATCCATTTAAGCAGTCCTCGCCTTCATATAATTTGATTAGTTGCACTATCTCGCACCACAGTCGTAACTGTGCCGTTCTTTCGTTTTGAGATGCTTAAGGTGCATTTATGCTATGTTAATCCATAGAAGGAATATGTCTGTGTTGTTTAAACCTTGTGATAGATTTTAATCCCCATGCGCACCTTTAGTTACAAGTGTTGGTCAGTGACAGAAAAATTGCGATCCATTGTACAAGCGGCTGAAATGGGCTTTTTGAGACGCATCACTTCAGTCACGCTTCTGAGCTGATTCCAGATTTCCCGCATTCGTGAAAGCTTTGGTGAACATCTGCTGCTTTTCCAGTTCAAGAATTCACAACTGCCATGGTTTGAGCATGTCTTTCGAATGCTTCCTGAAAGGAAGGCAGATCAGCTAGTTCTTGTTCTTCCGATCGTCCAAAGACCTGGAGTAGGTGGGGTGGCTCGGCGGACTTTGCTCGAGGGCTGGGTTATCTTTTGCCAATTTCCGACCATTGGTGCAGGATCTGGAACGTTAGAGCCACTGTTCTTGTTCTTGTTCTTGTGCCGCTGCCTTCGGAAGAATAAGCTTCCATCGCAGCTGGCTGACTGAATCGAGTTGCATCTTTGGAGTCCAAAATGCCATCGTGACTGTGTGCGATGTCGCGCGTGTCAAAACATCATAAGCGATTTATTTTACTTGTGACTACTTGTTTTTTGTTCATTTAATGTTTTTACCATTTCTTTAGCACCACAGAAATGTCTGGCCATTCGTCTAACGATTCAATGCATATGGATATGGCGATGTATTTTCATTTCGGCTATACGGAGACGATCTTGTTCAAAGGCTGGGCGATTAACTCCGTAGGAGGTAAGCGGTTCGTTTTATTAGTCTGGCTGCGAGTTAAGGAATTGCGTACCAACGGAGTGCAACCTATGGATCGTACGTTGCAGCAGCGTCGGGAACACTGAACGATGACAGAAGCAGAGGGTAGCACATCAAGGCGAAATACGAAGGAAGCTATGTTGTGCAATCGCCACAATAGCCATTTAAAGTCTGCAATGATCGCCAAAGTAGCCGTTGACCCGTCAAAGTACGCAGCGATAAATGCACCCTAATTTCTGAAACAAATTACATTTACTTAAAAATGTATTTCAGTCGTCACAATTGTAGTTAATAAGTAAGTACAGATTTCGACGTTTGCATATTTGCAGTTTATGCAAAGCAGTTACGTTCAAAATCCCGTTATGTGCAAGTTTAGGTTTAGACAGCAAATAATGTAAAACTGTTAACGTCATTGCATTGCTTAGGCTTGCCAAAAGCTGTACGTGCCTATTCGTTATTATAAAATTTCACACTGGAACATTGTGTATCGTATTTTATTTCAAAAATTAGAATTATTTAGTATGTGTATTTGTTGCTGCGAACTTTGGTCTTAGTGCCTAAACTCTGCCCCCAGTTGAAGCGGTAACAACCGGAGGTTGAGATGTCTCCTAATGTCTATAAGGGTGTTTGTGTTAGCAGCGCAATCGTTCGAAGGGTTCAGGTCGTAGCTTTTGAGGGATTATTGCAGGCTACTGTGCGTGGCAGTCAGTATATCGGTCCGGAGAGAACGTGACGAAATTGCTTCTCGTACTGTTTGTCGGATTAACGGAGGATGCTATTTATGAATTAATTTCATATCTGAAGCACGGTCATATAAATGTGTTCCATAATCTGTTCGATGTATTTCAGGCCTGATCGGATCAATGGTGGCTGTTTTTATCATCGCCGCGCTGTACGAAGAATTGAAAGCGGTTCGAGAGATACTTATGCGGAAAGGTCGCGAGCCAACGGAACCAGATTCACCGACTGGCGCGACTAATTCTAGTCAAGATCTGACTGCCGAGATATCAACGTGGAGAGCCAGCAAGAAGTTCAGGTATGCGCGACTTTGTGGTCAGCGGCATTTGAGGTTTTAAGTACTCGGGAAAGTTACCGATTGGCGCAGTAATGATGAACGAGCTGTGCTTGAGCAGTAGTCTGCTAAATTTCCGGATAAAGCTCTTCTCCTCTACGCTGGTGACGCTCGATAGTGAGGTTCAAATGGTTTAGCCCGGACCTTGCGTTATCCGCTCTGTTCTTCGAAACGGAACATTCAATAAATGCTCGTTTTCGCTAATACACTTCATTGAATAAACTCCAGTAATTATATACAGGAGTTTAGGCTTAGGCGATGATCAAATTATAGGTGCAATCTCTACTGCTTCTCAAGAATCGTTGGTCGTTGCTTCTTCGTCATGTCGCACTTTGGAGGCGAGCTTCTCCACGATATCTTCTTACCACGTATACTGCTGGTTCCGCAGAATGAAGTCCGTCTGATTCGACGTGAATTAATTCGAGATTGACAATAACGTGGACGACGCAGCTACTCGCGTGAACTGTTTTACAAGATGTGACAAGACGATGGAGGTAGATCGACTGACTTGGACAGACAGTAAAGATTCAGTATGCTGAGGGCTAATCGAAGCCTAGGCCAGTTGTTTGCTGGTATCCGAAGATTGGGTTTTTCGTTCATGCGTTGTTGATCACACTGACAACAGTATGAAACACGGTTTATGTATACACAACGCAAAGCTACTTGGTAGATCGGAAGATTGATCAGTACCAACGTTTTGGCCTTTGTCTGGCGAGCTTTCTTCAAGGTAAGCAGTGGGTTGAGTTTCAGAAACTTTTCTTGTCAGCAGCGGTTGGTGTGTTCAGAGCCAGAAGAGGAGCTTTTAGTTCGTGCTACCAGTTGGGTAGTTTCTCGCCGGTAAACGCGACAAGGCTCATCCAGTCCGCGCATACTTCATATCCTTTGTCACGGGTGACGTTGTCACCGGACTAGAAAATCGAGCAATGTCTCCTTGACGCACCTGTTCTGCAAATGTCTTCCTCTGGTGCTGGTTACTTTGGCCGGATGCATTTAGGGGGCGTGTGCTTATGCGTGCTTATTTGGTGTGTGATGCACAATCCCAAACTACTTTTGGATTTGTTGATTTGTTTTGAGGCGAATTGTAATTTTTCTCGAGTACCTCGCTGTTACGTCGTTCTAACTGGAGAAGTCGGTGAACGTAAGTAGGTGGTAACGAAGCACCCGGGAAGAAAGCAAAGCTCGCCCGCAGACAAACCAAAGAACAGAGCGATAAAACCGGATTGTGCAGCATGTGGCGTCAGGACACGCTCCCTTGTGTTCAGATGACATTGCCTCGCTGAACAAGAGAATCAAGAAGGCATCAATCATCCAGCCATACAGCAACTTCAACCGTCATAAAGGATACGAATTCTACGTGGATTAAATGAGTCTTGTTGCCCATGTCGCCATGAAGCTACTTAACGGGCAGCATGGACCAAGACCTCGTCTTGTGACTCCAAACGTAAGAATGGCTGCGAACTACTAAGAGAACGTCCGAAACCAGCTCTTCTTTATACCTTGAAATAGGCCCGTGAAATGCGGATCGGAATGTTCGTACTGGCAAATCATCCATTTGGCCATAGGGTGTTTGCGTTGTGTATAAACAAACTGTGATTTATGCTGTTTTGCTCGCATAGTTTATCCAGTGCAGCTTATTAAAACAGGTTATCTGATCACATGAATTTAGACGCAGCGATAGAACACGACTAAGAAGCGGTTATTATCTCCAACGTTTCGATCCTACAGTAACAGTTTTCTATAGAGTAAAAAGGCAATGCTTCTCTACGAAATCGTATCTGCTAAATTTTGGGACGCAGTTTCAATGCAATCAATGCAGCTATGGAACGAGGCAATGTGTGCTAGTGTTTTTCGGGTCTTCAGGCTCGTCGTGCGGAATTAATGCTTTTACCCTGACGAACGCTGATGTTGTGCGGTCGAAGCGTTTCAAACAGCATGGCTTTTTAATGGTGCTCGATCGGACTACCATTCCATCAAAGACCACTGCATCGAAAAGATCACCAATTATTGCGGAGAATCAAGATGACTTCCGAGTCAAAATGATTATTAACGGCAACTGTTGTTTCGAAGAACGAGATCGATTAGCGACCAAACCCGTAGCGCTGTATTAGCATACGTGAGTCCTGTTTCTACCCTCAGTTATGTCCTCGAACAGTGGTAGTCTGACCGAAACGTAATGCTAAGAATTTTCATTATCTTTCAACTGAAAATTCACTGTAGCCTACCAGATGACCAAGAGAAGAAAAACTGTGAAGTGTTTAACCGTTGAAACGTCATTGCCCATTACACATTCGATCACGTTATGATAGGGCCATTATGGCGTCTTCATTTTCCATACGTTAATGGTAAGGTAATCTCCATTTGCATGCCATCCGTTAGGAGTGCCTTATTTTTTTACGCAGAGTCGATAGCAGCTATGTGACAAGCATAGTGCGTAGTGTCCTGTTTTATGCCCAGAGAGTATTACTCAAACATCAACCTCAAAAGGCAGAAAGCCGACACCCTATGACGGGGGGGGGGAGGAGGAATGAATCCCGGGATTTCTCTTTTCTGAGTGCGACTTTCTACCGACTGAGGAAACCCAGCTTCAAACAACGTGAGGTCTGTTACTTGCTCAAGGGAATTTGTGTGTAAGATTAAGGCTTACTTCCGCCGAAATTGAATCCCGTACCTCTAGAGTTTGACGCTGATCTTTTGCTCTGTGCCACCACATCACTGTCCCATCAAACGAGATGACGAATATCAAGACAGATAAACTAAGTTTTACCTAGCGAGAAAGTGAATCGCCTTGGAAAAAGAAGGTGTGAAGGAAAAGCTAGTGCATCACGTCATCGCGGTTCGACCAAATATCCAGCCAACCAACCCACTGGCGTCATGACAGACTGGGAGCTGTTTTCATCTGCCATATCTGTTTTTTCTCATCTTGTTGTGGATTAAAGAAAGACTTTGTGTCGCAGGCAACAGCAAGAAAAGACATTGGTGCAAACCATAGGTTTAAGACGCCAGCCGGACGAAGGCCATTTTAATTTTAGTTGCGAACAGTTTTCTTGGCCTGTTTGCTATCGTAAAGCTCTGAAGGCTGCAGCACTTGCAGAGAAGTTGCAGAGCCAAGGGCATACGAATCCTTTAGAGAGAAACCCAGCTCCGACCACGGGTCGGCAGACAAAGTTTTCCGACGTGGACAAAGATAAACTGTCCTTGAATTGTGAAAATTTTAGACGTAAACGTTCTAACCTATAAAGATCAGGCTATATTTTACGAGACGGATGAATTGAGATTTGAGAATATTCCACACCCACCTTGCAAATATGCGGATCATATGATCCTAGTGCATTTTGGTACGAAAAGTAGATTCATAGTTATCGACCTTACACTAACGATTAAGTCTCGCGAAAGCTGCTCCATGGCTTTATGGGAAAATGAAATCCGACCTGAGATGTTAAACGTCTAGAATTCTTTGACCGACTCGTATGTTCTGAGCTATCTGCAGAAAGAATACCTAGAATACGTCGGAGTCGCAATTTGGTATCATTGCTCCGTGCTGTCAAACTGGATTCAGAGGCTGCGATAATTTATGGAGCATCTCTACTCAGCGTCGATGCTGAAGTGTAGGTGTTTCCTGGACAGACGCCGGGAATTCGTAAAATCCTAGGTTCATCCCAACCGCAATACGAATTGGATAGGATTGTCACTCTTCGTCAGGTGTACTGAAAGTTCTGAGAGCATGTGAAGTTTATGCTTGCTTCTGTCTTTAAAAGATGACGGCAGGGGTGCATTTTGCTTGAAGCCGTAGAAGGGCCACACTGCTGGATTAATGGCTAGATGTTGGGTCAGTGAGGTAACCGTCCAGAGTTCAGTGTCCTGATTCACAGCAAGAAGTCTGTGCAGTTCAGCGTACGAATTTTCGCCCCTCCTTTTCATAAGTTCAACATATTTGATTAGCAGACACAATTCAGACAAATTAACAGATTTGGGTGTTTGGTTAAATTCAAAAACACTAAACTAATTTGCAGGTGATCTAGCGGTGTACATCTCCTCCCATATAATCCTGAGCGATGCATTTACCCTGATCATTGCGGCAAGCCATGAACATGCGATGAGGATTAGCTTCACCAAAATTGCGGCTCTACTGTCGAGATAGGGCAATCGTGTATTTTGCAGGTAAGTGCAGTTGTGACTCGTAGAGACGTTTAAATACATTGAAATAGCATTGGCCACTGATGGCAAGCAGAACGTCGAAATCACCGCACCAGTTGGTCAAGCGATCGTAATAATGCGTTTGTACACTTTATGATGGTGATGTCGGAAGAACTGAGCAGTACTGTGAAGCTATTGGTTATAGAGTCTGGCTACGTATTTGCCCTCACCTATGTTACGAGTGTTAGATATTAGCTGAATGAGTGCTCTTCCTCATAACCTAGATAACGCGATAACCTAGAAGGATGATTGGTGTAGCTAGGTTTTGTAAGATTTGCGGTATAACAGTCCGCGATACCGTCGCTTAGGAGTTGCTCCATTATCAGATCGAGAAATGGTTTGAACCTTGACATGAAGTCAGAGAAAAAACTCGCAAGCCTCATTCTCTTCGAAAAATCACGTGGCTGGTGTCCAAGGACAGACGAATCGCTGACACGACGAATCAAGATGAACACTTGAAATGGACTTAACCTTAGTTCCATTAATTTAATACCCCTTATTCTTTTTTCATACAGCAAAGCAGCTCCGATTGTTATGGTTCTATCTGCTGTTACGATAGCCACTGCATTGCGTTTGAAGTAGCCAAGTGGGTTGACCTTGTTCTTCCACTGTGAGCCTAGATATGATAGAGGTTCGTGATTTGTTCTACCGTTTGCACGCCACACTCACGTTATGGTGATTCCATTTATAAACGAAGTTTTGTGTTTGTTGAGATCATCACCTTGAGCTGTTTATGCATAAACAGTTTATAATGTCATCGTTGGTTTATGATGTTCGTTGTAGTCGCTGCATCACAGAAGTACATGTTCGTCTCCGAAAGCAGATCTGCCTTTACCTTATTTCTCCATGGTGCATGCTGGCCTCTTGGTCGACGTCTGCCATGTTTCGACTCTCACAAGAAACTCATGGACTGGAGTAAAGGGCGTATGCCCAACCTTTTTTTTTAAACAGGGCTAACTTCCTTATTTCATCTCTACATCTACTGAGGTTGCGTTTGGTTCGACGAGATCAGAGTCATTTTTTACGTTGTTTGCCATTTCTCTTTCATTATACGTCGAAGTCAACACTGCTGAACGCAGTTGAACCGTTGTCACCGTTGCTTCTTTCGAACAACTGTCTCCATTCCACACAACATCGCTGACCTGACAGAGGCGAGGTGTGGGCGGATTTTCGTGGAAACAGTTAACTCATTTCTCAACTCAGATATTGCATATGTTCCTAAAGCACTCGAAGTTAAGGCCATTCTCCTGTTTAACTCTGGCAGGATCGTGCCATCGCTAGAAATGGTGGAGCCCAGGCACTTAAATTGGTGAACTTCATAGTGATATATTTTTTTTTGTGCCAGGGCTAGCACTGTTTCAGAGCAGAAAGCCAAGAACATTGTTGAATAGCACATATCCTTAGGTGAAAGCACATTTTCCTGGCGAACTCCACAGGTAATAGGAAACCATACAGAGATCTCCTTCAACTTTGACATCATACATGGTTTCTGCACATATCTCTTTCAAAAGAGAAACGTTGTGCTCAGGTATTCGATAGCATTTTAACATTTTTCAGGTCGTCAGATATAGAGAATCGAATGCAGCGTTGAAGTTGAGGAAACTGCAAATCAGGGTAACTCGGATCGTCGACATTGCTCAGGGATCCTAAACAGAGTAAAGATTTGGTGGGAGCAGAAATACGTCATTCGTAAACCTGTTTAGTTTTAATGAAGTTTTCCATCAGTTGCCTGTTTCAGCCTGTCCAAGATAATCTAGGAAAATAGTTTCCCGATAGTTGACAGTAGTCAGTATATACGAGGAATCCCCCCTGTCATGCCTTGTACGTACACGGTTAGTGCGTTACGTTGTCGTCTGGG